TTTTTTGTTTTGTTTTTGTTTGTTTTTTTTGTTTTTGTTTTTGTTTTTTGGGCCAGCTTCAGATTTGTTATGCAGAAGGCTGTTTAATGAAATTTAAAAAAAACAAGTTTTTCTCAATAAATGGTTTATTTTAGGAAGTTTTTTTCTGCATCCTTTATTTTGTTTGCTGGAGAGCCAGCTGATGTCTGTAGCAAATACAAGACATTTTGAGGTGAAATGTGAACAATGAAGTTTATGTCAGCATCTCTCACCTGAAAGGAAAGGGAAAATTTGGTCCCTTGGGCTGAAGTTTTCCTGAAGCTTTTCAGCTTTGGGCTGAAACTTTTCATAGTAGTCAATGCAGCTGAGTTTATCAGCCATTATAAATGCCAGCTGAGTCCTTTCGTGATATCATTAAAAATGTTTTCAGGGTTCTCCTGCTTACAGAGAGGTATGAATTGATATCTACAGGACTGTTCATTTACGACACCCAAGATTGCAGTGAAGTTAGTTTAATTCAGTGGGTACATGCACCTAGTAGTGAAAGGTGAGTGCAGCATGCATACCAAGCAGTGCCCACGACTGAGCAGTGCTCAGTCCAGCTAATACGTGTGTCAACAGCAGTGAAGGGTGGTGTCTCTGATATGGCAGTTTGTTGCAGCAAGCTTGTTCACAAGACATTTCCTGGAGGTGTTTTTGTTTTGTTTTGGTGTTTTTAAAAAAGAGAGCATGGGAGACAGAGACAGGAAGCTGCTTAGCTGTGAAGATTTGTTTGGGTCTCTACAGCTGTACCACAGACATGGATAATCTTTGCAAACAAAAGTGAGTTTGTCACTGTCATTACTTTTAAAATGTTCTCTGAAATTTACAAAACAAGCAGGACTTAATTTATTTAGCTCCATTTTTTTTACTCATTCCCCCTTTTTCTCCAGTCAATAAAGCAGTAATCCCAACTCAACCACAACACCCTTAAAGTTATTTCAGGCAGGAGACTGCTGCTGAGCTGCAACCTCGGAGGTTCTGGGGGACGTTCTCTCCTGGCAGAGCACCAGCTCCATCAGGTACTTGTTCCGCAATCCTCCAGGCCATTGCTGCTGCAAGCAGGGCAGCCCTATGGCTCCAACTCCAACTTGTCCCCCGGCACTGGGAAGAGCTCAACAATCACATCAGATACATTCATATTTTTGCATCTGTCAGAAATGGCCAGAATAGGACCAGATGGCAGGCTTTAACAAGGACCTTCCCCTCAAAAGTTTCCTATGCTGCATTGCACTTTAATGACTAGGTAATAGGAAGCTAACCAAATATACTTAGATCTATTTTCCATTGTTGAATCTTTACTGAAGCCAGTTTCTGGCTCTCTAGCATGTTCACAAATAAGCTCAGTGTTTAAGAATTGTTTTTGTAAAAAAAAACAACAAAACCTTTGTTTTAATAGACAGAAGATTGAAGTGTATGTGGGGGGGAGGAGAGGGGATGATGGGGGGGAAGGTGTTGAGTCAAATCCATGGATTGTACTACCACAGCCTTTTCTTATTTTGTCCATTTTTACCAGCAATGCATCGTTGTAGTTCTGTGCGTTTTGGCTGCTTTCCTCATTTTGGCCTCATTTTTTCCCATCTGTAAAATGGTTGCCTCCCTGACGGGAAGGTTAAGAGCACATGAACTCACTTTGTTCTGAGCCTGAGCATCAGCTGTTGGGAGAGTTATTAAATATACTACTGACAAAAGACCCACAGTGGTTGTACTTCAGCTTTTAGGTTTTATTTTGTATAAACAAACTTAAGACTACTTTTGTTAAGGCAGTTGTAAAACATACAGTTTCTTGGGGTCAGGAGGAGGGCAAACACTGAGGCCTAACAAGACACTAATTCTCTTAATACAATAAAACCAAAACAGTTTTATTCTTTTTCAGTTTGGCAAGTACCTTTTTTTTTTCCCCCTTTTCTTATTAATAGGCAGAATGGTGCGTTACAGCTAACCCAGCAAAAGGCACCAACCAGGTGTTAAAAAGCAGTGGCAGGAGAATTGCTTAGTCAGACTGGCAACTTTTATAACAGTGGGCCAGGTGGCTTCAGCAACACATAGGCAAGGAGGAGGGAGGCAGGGAGAGGCCTTTATGTGTGTCCCTGCCAGTGTCTCATAGCTGGGGGCTGCGCCTGGTGCAAGCACAGCTCATAGGCAGAAGGGAACTGGAAGCTGTTTCCATGCTGCTCCCATTTCTCCCCATCTCTGCAGCTGGAAGCTGTGTCCAGGCTGCAGCCTTGGGGGAAGTTTGGGGTGGAGGGAAGTGGCAGCAGCACAGGCACAGCTTTCAGCTCCCCAGCCCCAGGGCAGCTGCTCATTTCTGGCACGGGTACAGGCCAAACCCTGCAGTACCATGGACTAGCTATAGTTCAGGGGTCATGTTGCTGGCCTAGGCTGTTGTGCATCTGACGGTGTAATCCAGGCCTCCCACATAACTCATTAGGGCTGCTTAAAGGGCATGGAAGGAAGGATCCAGACTGAAATATTTGAGCCCATGTCATTACCAAATGTCTGTCCCAGAGGAAACAAGCCACACTTTCACTGACATGCATTACTGGCCACAAGGGGCACTGCACGCACTGAGAGGAAACAAATTAAGGACTCAAGAGGGTTAAGCATTTTTTTAATCAACCCACTGGTGGCCCTTTAAAAGGTGAAATACTAGGCAGAGTACCTCTTAACTAATGCAGTTGCTGTTCAGCTATGAGTAGCATATTCCTATGGTGTGGAGCAGACTTAAAATAGTCTTAGTGTCAGATCTGCAACAAGGCTCCATTGGCTACTTTATTTACCCTGATGAGGTGGCATGAACAGCCTCTTACTCTCCCCTAGGACCTCTGTTTTCAAAATGATGCGGACAGGCTCTGTTTCTCACACTGGCTGCTGGGAGCTAAATGGTCCTTACTGTTGTCAGAAATATGTTGTCTGTGGCCCTGCAGCACAGCTGGTTGTCTAGCAGTAAGTTACTGTGCTATTGCTAGTGCATCAATGGTGCAGCTGGCTTCTTCCTCCACTCCTATGAAAGTACTGAGCTCAGGCAAAAGTAGATACTCAAAAGGCTGTTGCTATGAGACGACTGCAGTATCAACAGAAAAATGATTTGGTTGAATAAAACAATGAGGGCTACAGTTGCAGTCTGCACGCATTTACTTATTTTGGTGGACGTGCAATTAGGCCCTACCCTTTCCCATTAAGGACCATATCATTATCTGACACTTTACCAATTCCAAGCCAGCATCAGTGAGATTATGAAGCATGAAGGGAGAAATGTAACTGAGTGACTGGTGCTGATCTTAAACTGCCACCTAATATTAGGGAGATGGCAGCACCACAGTGGCTCTTCCCAAGGTGTTAGGAGATACTGAACAGCCAGTGCCTAGTTCATGGCATACACTGCACTGTTCTGCTATTTTTGTTTTTTCTAACTTACTTTTTGAGGGAATATTTTTTCATCGTAAAAGGTATTTTACCCTCTGCTTTGGTGACAGCAAACTAAGCAGACTTAGTTGTATTAACTAAGAGTCCTCAAAAGTTTTTGCACTGTCACCCTGTATCCTCTGGCCATAATAATTCAACCCAAAGCAGCTGTGTCTTTTGGAAGGTGGAACAACTACATTCAACAGCTGTAAACAACTAATTGCCTTTATTTCCAACATCTGTAAGAAGTACAAATCCCTCAAGGAGCTGGATTTAAAGGTATTCATTTGTTGTAGAAAGCTTACTGATGAAAATATTTCCATGAGTTATTTTGCTTAGAAAAACCCAAACAAACTGGTTTTATAGCCTGTTTTAGCTAGCAAGGATGAGGCTATAAATTGATGAATCTTTTAAGAAAGTTGGACTTTGCTCAAATTGAAATCTAGGATGTTCCCATCACGGACTGCTCTGGGAGCTGAATTTTGCAGGGAGCTGAAACTAAACCCTTCCCCCCCCCCTTACAAGACCAAATGGAAAATTAATGTATATCCCAAAGAAGCAACAGAAGAGAAAGATATAGATAGAATGGGGGGAGAGGTGGAGGGGAAGAGGGCAATGTTTTTGTTTGTTTTTTTAATGCACACTTATGGTTGCTTTGTTACTGTGCCTGCTGTTAGGTTCCTCTTCTACTGCTGCAGGCAGTGCCTCCATGTATTTAAAGTCTTTTCCAAGCTAGAAACTAGGTGGTTTCACCTGTACCAGCAGTATTCAGTCTATGCCTTCCTCCTATTCCTGGTCATTGTGCCAGTGGGCTCAGGCTAGTCCAAAACTGGTCATTGGAACAGTGAGAGAAGAGTCTGAACATGTGACTTGTGCTGAATATACTTGAAGCCCAATTCCACTTCCTATGATGCAACTGAAAAGCAGGGACAGACTCTTACACACTTTCTTCCCTCCCTCATTTGCCCAACTGCAGCAGAAGCTTGGTTTATGGATCTGATATGAAGGCTTTATACATACAGAGGAACTCCTGAAACTCTTTTGCTCCAGCAGGGTTGTTTCAGTCAGACTGTAGTGTAACCAGGTGCAGCATCATCTTGTATTTAACAGTGACATTATTACATTGTGAATGCACAGTCTAGCTGTAAACAGGCATCCATCTTAATCTTCTGGGAATGAAGTCTCCTCTGACCTAGTCTGCCATTCTTTAGAGCAGGTTGAGAAGAGCCTGCCATCACCCCCAGGCCAGTGCCCAGGTGAGCCTTTTGCCATACTCAAGCTAGATGCATGTTTTTCCTCAACCTACAAGAGACGTCATACGAAACCAGCCAAAACAGATGCACGCAAACCCAGTGTGAAAAGGGGATTGGAACAAGTGCATGTCTCACCAACTGTGGAAATCCAGATCAAAACCCTAGAGTGGGGAAAGAAGTAGAAATAAAGAGCACAAGTTCAGGTAACTACAGCAGCCATTCACCTCATCCTGCCTTCCTCTCACTTGAAGGACCATGATATGCACTTTAAAGTTTTCAGAAGTTGCATCTGTTCCCTTTGGATTGAAGCAGTCTCTGGAGCTGTTACTTGTGTTTCTGCTTGTTGTCGTTGTTGCCATAGGTAGAGCCCTTGTTGATTTCTGTCACCCCAATCATCCATCGGACACCAACAGAAGCTGCAAAGAGAGGGAGCGAAAGACAGGAAGTTATTTTAACAAAAAACAAACAAACAAACCCGAAACACCCATGTCAGCTAAGGAGCAATTAAAATATACAAGCCACAAAGATCAGGTTATAAAAATGAGAGTGGTGTTGACATTAGCAGCATGGTGATGCAGCATTCCTAACAACACTCATCCTACAGCACTCTCCAGCCAGAGGTCGGAGGAAGGCAAAGATCACTAACTCCCATTTAAGTCACAAAGGTAGGATGACCTGCCTAGTCACACAGCAGACCCAGGGACAGGAGGCAGAAAGAGAAACCAGCTCTCCTGCCTCTTAGCATAGCAAGCTCACCCTGGCCTCGTGAGCAGCCCGCCAGGCATCTGATAACATAAGCAGCCAGAGCGGTCTAATGGGGAACATCATCATTGCTAGCGCACTTGCTTGTACACCAAAGCCCTGACCACATGTCAAGAGGGAGGTCTATTTGGGGCTTGTTTTTCCATTTTGTGGTTTTACTCCACTGTGAGCACTTGACTGGCCAAGTGGATTCACATGGTCATCTGCACCGTGTAGGCTGCAAGGGAACTTTTATTTTGTTTCCTCTCTTTTCCCCTGACAAAAAACACAATGAAATCATTTTCAAGAAATATCTAGCTATGCTCTCCATTAGCCGGAAAGAAAAAGCAAGTGTTGCGGTCTCTTAACTGGTTTAGCTGAGTACGAGCTTTTTGCTAAGACTGCTCTAGTATGGGTGGTGTTTGCTAGGTATTCTTTGATGGTTCATTAGCAAGGGCCATACTAAAAAGATTCTCAAGGTTGTCACTATAACCAACAGCTCAAGTAGCCTATCTGCTCCCTCTGCAATGAGATGAGGTCTGGATATAGGAGGCCACAACACTGGCTTCACAGGGTCATTCAACCTTGGAGAACCCACTACTGCTGCTGCTACAGCTGAGCATGGCCGAGTTGATGCTGGTGACTGAAACCTCCTTGCCTTCTCCAGTTATTTCAGTCGACTGGCAACCAATATAATGGACAGCAAGACTCTTACAACTGGGTCAAGCTTCTGTACAACATCCCCAGAGTCAGAGGGAAACACAGGTGCCCTTTGTTTTACGTGGTCTTTTACTGGGGGAATCATTATGGAACGTTTCCCTTTATTATAAAAACAAAAAAGCCATTTCCTACAGGTGCCTGCAGACCCTTTATACATAGTCTGTAGACCCCCAAGGGTCTGCCGACCACAGATTGAAAACAACTGGTAAAATGGTTCGTGAAGACAAAGAAAAAAAAGCTGGTAGGTTGTTGACCTGCTACAAGAAGTCAGTCAACAATCACCGCTTGCTAAATAATACCTACATCATCTCTCCTCTGCCCTAGCCTCAGCCCTGCAAAGGAGGAGTTCGTTACATCCTGTTCAGCCAAGCCCAACCACTTCTGCATTCCCCCCCACTAAAGGTCCTTATCCATGACCAACTCCTGCCAGCTTCTCATGGGTGGGAGCCATCTCCAGCACCCCTGCAAAGCACTTTTACTTGGGAGCTGAGCACAGCAGAAGCCTCTCTGCCATTCAGACCAGCCAGACCCCACTTGAGATTGTTCAGCAACAGAAGAGGTGCAGCAGGTGCACCCTCATACAACAAGGTGAAGTATGGAGCAAACATCAAAAGCATTTTCATTTAATTAAAAAAGTGCAGGCATCCAGTTGGTTACAAATAGTTTCCTTTGCTTCTCAAGGGCATGACATACTGTAGTGCATCACCAGAAATGCAGTGTTCTCAGGTGACAAACTAGGTGCCACAGCACGCATCTATCCCATTTGTGCCAGCCAGCCCCACCATGCACAATTTCCTGAAGGCTAAGGGACAACCAAAGCTCAAATGATTTCACTTACTATATTCAAGCCTTCATCAAGGTGACAACTAGCAGAGTCCTGGAGAAAAAGAAAGGCAAAGGAGAAGAGAAGGGGAAGAGAGGGCAGGGGAAAAGGAAAGAGAAAGACAGACATCTGCGCGCACTCATGCACAATTTTTTATTTTATTTTTTTTATTTTACAGATACATGCTTTTAAAAGCCAAGTCCGTACCCACTGAATCCCAAGGAAGTTCCAGGGTCTTCAATGAAGGTTGATAAGACCTATGAATACTGAGCAGTTTGCTCATAAATTAGTGATGCTCTTGTTTTTGCACCAATCTGAGGCAGGCAAGGAACTCCTAACATCCTTCCCTATACTATCAATTCATCTCTCACTGAGGCACCTGCAAAATGGACTATGGCTCCCTTTTGGCCATGTTACAGTTAAGCTCACTCAAATGAGTGCACTGTAGGCAATTAAAAATATAACTGGTCTTCTCTGAAGAGAGTATTCAGCATCTGCTTTTGCTCCAGTAGGTGAAAAGTGGCCAATAACGGTTCCCAGGAGTTGCTAAGTACTGAATAAATTATAATCCTGTTGCATAAAAGGAGCCCCTAAGTGTGTAGATGCTGACAGTATGGATGACCACTAGCTCTCCCTGTTTAATCTCAGGCAAGCTTTTTGAGGCCATGGCTAGTCAAACAGGTTGTACCAAATGCAAAAAACAGAGATAGGAATGCCCAGACAAGTCAAAGTATTAACCATTGGGATGGACACACATGGGAAGGTGCTTTTGGACTCCTCCCCACCCAGAATTAGAGGAAAAAAAAGATAAGTAAATAAGCTATAATACAAAGTTTTCAGGAGAGGTATCTATCTCAGGGCTGGAGAGAGGCTTGCAACACACCCTTCCTTGGGAGTGAAAAAAATTAAAAGGAAGAAATCAAGTTGATAGACTTGTGCATCTCATGGGGAGCGGGGCAGCCTTTGATTGCAAATCAAATGGAGAAAATACCTGGACAAGAGAGTGGACTCTGAGGGCACATCCAGACAAGAGCACGTGCATTTTTCCAGAGACAAATAGCAAAGGCACAATATGTGATCCTGCTGCTTGTCCCCAGGGAACGCCTGCGCGCATGCACTCTGGTGCACGGCAAGTTGCCCGGGGTGGGATAGGGGAGGCTGGGGCCAGCACCTGGGGGCCTCCTGGGGCTCTAGAGGTGGCAATCCAGCAGGGAGCCTGGCTGGCAGCCAGAGCATGGGTCTGACCAGCCGGGTCTCCGGTTTTGGGTGGCGCACACTGCCACCATGTCCACCGATTCGCCTTTTTCCAGTGTGGTTTTTTTTTTTTACACTGGAATCTCCCAGTGTCAAAATAACCACCTGCACTGCAAATTAGCTATCTGGACATGCCCTAAAAGATAGTTAAATCTGTACTGAAAGAAGGTCAGAATGAATTCAGATCTGATTCATTCCATTTATGGGGCTGTTTAATCTTACAGGGATGAAGCCAGAGAGATGACCACCTGGAACCTGCAAAGACAGTTCCAGCAGAGGTGAGATGCTGTAATACAGCAATTCCTGCTTAGGACTTTACAGTTCCAGTCCCTTGTCCCCAGTTTCTCCGTGTAACCATGTACAAGTAGCTTAACCAAATTCTGCTCAGTTAATTCTTCCTGAAGCAATGGAGAACATCAACGCCAGATTTGGCCCAATGACACCTCAAATTTATACTACCTGATCAACATTATGGTAACTCATCTAACAAGGCCCAATGGGGACACATGGGAGGAGGGAAATGGCAAGCAATGTGGCACAAGAATGGTTGCTGAACGGCTGCTGTTGTGAGGGTATGGGCACAGCCTTAGCTTTGTCCCATTCCACCTCTCTGCTCCCTTTCAGAAGCTTTATTCATGCAGTCAGGAGGTACAGGATGCAGTGCGGCAGTGAGCTGCAGGGGGAGGAGAAGCTCTACAGCCATTTACCTCTAAAGAGATGCATCACAATTTGGTTGTTAATGGTGTAGGGCAGCATGGGGGAAGGGGGAGCTTGTCCAGTCCCCCTCACACAGTCAGCCTATGGGCAGAGTGCAAAGACAGGACCAAGGCTGAGTTCTTACCCTCTTTAGGGAACACAGCAGTTGCTTCAAGAGTTAAAACACCCATTTATGCAGGCCCAGTGTTGGGCCTTAGTTCTCACCTCGCGCAAAACCATCAGAGACAGTTTCTCCCAAGTAAAACATGAAAGACTGGGTTCTGGAAGTTCACCAAGGTGTTGACAACCTGCCTGCAGCCACCAATAATGTATGGTACAACTTGAGGGTGCATCATAAATGCATGGGAAGTCGCAGGTAATCCCAGATGCCATTCCCCCCTCCCTCAGGAGGGCTAATTCTAAGAGCACTACAATGTGGGAGGCAAAAAGCAGCCTATTAGTTAAACAGCTTAGTCACAGTATTGGATCATAGATAGACAAATGTGCAATTACACAGCCACAGGACTGGACTAAGATATGTGAACGCACAGAGAGTAATGCATACATTAGGCCATACGCCTTCTGTACTGGGGTACGGCGTAACCGGGGCAGGCACCAGCCTCAGGTGCCGATTTAAAGCGCACCAGAACGGCAGCACCTGGGGAGTCCATGCTACACCACAGCAGCAGCAGCAGCTTGTGTGCAGAGAACCCATGCTGCCCCCTGCCACCCTTGAGCCCAGGGCACCCAAAAATTACTTGTTACACCACTCATCTTAAAAGGGTACGCCAGATGGGCGCGCACTCCAGTTCTTACGGGGCGTGCAGATTCATATTAGAGAATCACATATCTCATGATCATCTCTCATTTTGAGTGGAGGGAAGAGTGGGGAGAAAGCGTGGGAATACCCAAATCCTAGCTACTACGCTGACTTGGTTTGTAAAGGTTCAGTAAAACAATGCAGTCCAGCACCAAAGGGGGAGGGGAAAATGACTGATGGAGACTTAGACCACTAATGCAGGTTTTTAAACATGCCTTTAGGTACTTAGCCACTGGCTGCCCAGCTTTCAACTGTGAATTGTCCTTTCCAGATGCTGCAGATGAAAAATCTTTTACATCCAACGACAGCTCAAGTGTTAATTTGTTCAGTGCCCTACGATGCCAGTGAGGCACCACACTTAA